GGTGTGCTAATCTCCAAGGCCTGGCTGAGGCAAGTGGATGGCTCAAGTCACTCAGCTACTTCCTGGGGAAGCCAGGCCACCTTTAGATCCGAAAACAGCTATTTGTGGGCAGGTATTGGGGTGTGCTCTGGCCATGGAATCAGCCCAATCGCGATGCGGTTCTGCCTCTCTTTCCCTTGGTCTAGTTGGGCAACTTGTTGGTCTCTGTTCTTGCACTTGGCACAAACACCATACCAGGGTGATAAGGACAGCTCTGAGGTCCTGGCTTCTCGATAACAAGCATGAGCATTCTAGTAAAATACCTGATACATAGTAGCCTGTTCTGATGATGTGGGTTAAAAGTCTGGTGTCATTCTTCCTGGCAGTGAGAATATGCCTTGGACCTCAGTTTCCTTGTCTGTCAGATGAAGGTCTGACCACGCTGACCTCACCGGGTCACGCGAAGTCTCAGCCTTGGAGTGTGACACATGTCAGTCAACACCGGTCCCTGCCTCCTGGGCAGGCAAGGCCATGTGTGAGGACCCGGGGACAGGCGGGCTCTGGACTGGGCCACTGGACGTGTTCCTGGGACAGCCTCAGGGTTTCTGAGCACATCCCTGCAGAATATTGGGCTGGACAGACCCAAGGGCTCCGTCAGAAGCAAGAGCTTGGCACTGTTCCAGAAAGCAGTGGCGGGAGCTCAAGGACAATTTGTTTTGCTCAGGAGAAGGATGTTGCAAACCATTTAATGGAAGCTCAGCAGAAAAAGGCGGAGAAAACTGTCTCCATCTGACAGTTTCAACAATAGCTCTCCCGTGACAGCTGCTTTAGACATCTGCCCGGGCCTCAGTTTTCTCCTCTGTTAAATGGACGTGGTGATAATAGCATGCCTCTTGCTGGGCTGTCGGGAGCCTTTCTCCACTCCACAGTTGTTTACTGAGCGCCTGCTGGGTGCAGGGCACACTGCAATGACAAAGCAGTCACTGTCCTCATGCACCTGACATCACAGTGAGTCCACAAGATGATGTGTTTTGAGGGATTAGCACATAGTAGGTGCTCCAAAAATAGTACTTGCTGCTTTGCTGGCAGGGTCATCTAGCTTGGATGAATTCACCCTTTGATACTTGAGAGTGGTGACAATTTAAATAAGGCAGGTGAGCCCCTGCTTTCCCTCTGGGTTTTCTCCTCTGCACGCTGCAACTTCGGAGCCTGATCCTGAGGAGGAGGCTCCCACCTGCTGCCACGCTCTTCCCGCGTGCCTTCCCACTGCCTCAGAGTGCCGCTTCCAGCTGGTCCTGCTTTGGAGGAGCACAAGGTCGGTGAGGAGGCAGATGGGGGTGCAGCCGGCAGGCAGAGCCAGGGTCCTCGAGGAGAGGGCTGGGCTGGAGGTGCTGGGGCTGTCAGGGAAAACCTCCCCACTTGATTTCAGACCTGGGCCTTGAAGGAGGGTAGGACTGAGTCAGGTGGAGAAGGCAGGGAGGGCCTTCCTGGCTGAGGGAACAGCCTTTGCAAACAAAGGTTCAGGGAGGAAAGCTTGGGCTGGGGGTGGCTGCAGTGGGATGACGCCTGGGGAAGTTCTCCACTTAGGGAGCCCTGGCAGGGTTTGGAGCACGGCCAGCTCTGTATCTTGGAAGGCTCTCTCGGGCTGCAGTGTGGGGGAACTGGGGGCAGGAAGCAAAGAGAAGAGGGGGAGGAGTAGAGAGGGTGGCTGATTCTGCCCAGAACGCCGTCAAGTGACCCGCTCGCGTCCCCCCACCATGCCAGAAATGGTCACCAGAGGGCGTTGTGTATCAGCAAGCCGTGGAGGCCCCTACTGGTGGCAGGGTGGTGTGCCTGTGGATTGAGTATGTTACTGTGCCTACACCCGTGTGGCCATTCCACGTGCGTATTCACACTTGTGCACCTTGCTGTATTCATGTGCGCGCGTGTATTTGGGCTCTGTGGACTTACACAGGTGTGAAAGGGGGCTTGTGGGGTTTTGATTGTGCAGGTGGGTGTGTTGGAGAAGTGCAAGAGGTACATATAGGTGAGAACAGCACCCCGCCCCATCTCCCACTACTCCAGCCACAGTTATTCCCCTAGAAGCCATCTACCTCAGGGCCTTTGCACATGTTGTTCTCGGTGCCTGCATGGTCTTCCACCAGACATCCTTACGACTCCTCCCTCACCTCCTCAGCTCTGTGCTTACATGTCACCTTCCAGTGAGCCTTTTCCTGACCTCTGTCTTTAAAAGTATAATCCCGACATCCAGACACAGTCCCTGTCCCCTTTTCCACCCTTTGTCCCGTAGCACCTATCCCCTGACCGAGCATAATGATGTGACCTAGGCATTTTGCTTGCCTGGCTTGCCCACCAGACCATCACCTCCGTAAGGGCCGGGAATTGTGTCTGTCTTGTTCAATGTTGTGCCCTCAGTGCTAGGCACATAGTAAGTGCTCAATACACAGTTGAATGAATGAATGAATGAATGAGCTTCCCCAATCCTGGGTTCCCACCATCCTCTCTCTCCAGTCCTCTGTCATCCCGGGTCCCTCCCACCTCGGCTCACAGCCACATCCTAACTTTGGCCACACCCTCCACCTCCCTGTGTCTCAGTTTCCCTGAATCTACAGAGAGGGGTGTTTGGGACGTTCCTTCTCAGAGTCCCGTTCCGTCTCAGAGTTGCCTTCTAAGAGGCAACCTGCTGGGACCCCATCAGACGCTCCTTCTGGTTTCTGAGCCATCACGGAGTTCCTTGGCCTTACCGAGCTCCCGAGGGGCAGAGGGTGGCCAGCAGATGCTGCTGCAGCTAGCTGAGAGGAGCAGGGGCAGCTCTATTGTGGTGCTTTCTGTCGTGGCAGCCATGCAGCTCTGCAGCCCCGGCTGGCCCCCGCATGCGGCCCCTTTCGCACCTCCAGCCCTTCCCAGGGAGACTCTCTCTGCTTTGCTGCCTGACAAGCTCCTGTTGATCCGTCAAGGTCCAGTCTCAAAGTCACTTCCTCTGAGGAGCCTTCCCTGACCTCACCCAGGTGGTGTCTGGCACCTTCCTGAGACTCTTGCTCATGAATCTATTTATAGCACCTCACATGGAGTTTTGTGATGCTTGGGCTGCCTGTCAGGCTCCCTGACTAACCGTCAGCTCCTCCAACCGAAGGGCCTTGTCTGAGTCATATGGGTGCCTGGGAGGCTGGCACGGGACTAGAGTCACTTCATCGATGTCTGTGGCATGCTTTTCATCCTGCCTTTGTTCATTCCTCAAGTACTTATTAGGCACCTACTATGCACCAGGCCCTGCGCTGTGCATCAGGACTTTGGCAGGGAATGAGTTGGCAAGATTCCTGCCCAGGAAGGGCTGACGGTCTCGAGGGAGAGCTAGATAAAAAACAGAGCAAATAGGAAAGGCATCGGTGGCATGAGTTCTGTGCGGAGAATTACAACTGATTTGGGGACATGAGCAGGAAGGCCTTTTAGAGGAGTTCACTTAAGTGGAGGCCTGAAGGCTAGAAGGGAACCACCACAGGAATCCCGGGAGGAAAGGGGTTCCGGGCAGAGGAAACAGTGAGGGCGGAGGGCCCGAGGCAGGATGGGTATTGGCACATTCAAGGGGCAGCACCGAGACCCTCGAACAGGGCTCATGGGAAGCGTGGGAGTCCGAGCGGATGGCAGGAGCCTGAGCCTAGAAAACCTGAGGGACCAGGCTTACATTCCTGGTAGGGAGGTAGCTGCTGCTGGGTGCCCATTTTACAGATGGATAAGCACCAGGTCCTGAGGAGAAATGACTAGCCCAGGGTCACATGAGCCATTGGGAACAGAGCACTCCACACACCCAGGAGTGGTAAGGCTGAGATGGCTTCCTGGAGGAGGTGGCCCGCAGTGTATTTGCAAATATTTCCTGGGCATTTAGGAAGTGCCAGGCCCTAAGCCAGGCACTTCCAAGCCTGAGTTCACAAGCCAATTTCAGAGAGGCCTCATTGTCCCCATGGGACAGGTCAGTAAACTGAGGCATGGAGCTGCTCCATGACTTCTAGTAAGTGGCAGAACTGGCATTTGAACCCATTCCTGTCTGAGTCCATAGATCATGACTTTCCACCCACTGCCCGGAAAGGGTGAGCAAGAGATGCAGGAAGAGAGTAATGATAATATAAATAACATGTCCCCCTTCCTTATCTCATCGGGGCCTCTCCATCATTGTGTGGGTGGGGCCCTGCAGAGATCACCCCTTTTTACAAATGGGCAAGCAGAGGTCAGCTCCCTGCTCCAAGCATATCTAGCAGGTGGTGGAATCTGCTTTCCTCACGTGAGGACCCTGGCAGGCCGCACACTCATGCCTGCCCAGAGGCGAGGGGCTGACCCCTTGACCTTTGCCAGGCACTTCCCTCCCTCACTAGCCGGTAGCTTTCCATCTGAGTCACCTGATCCCTGGGCCAGATTGGTCAGTGGCTCCTAAAATCCCCCTAGCTCCACGTGGGAGCGGGAGGGAGGACTCGCCTATGTTGCCATTATACACCATACAGTCCGTATACACAGACAGAGGCCCCAACAGCAGAGAAGAGAACCAAAGGCCCACCTTACTCCCTCCAAGACTCAGCTTCACCGTGTAGAGAAGGAGGGGCGGTAAAGACACAACCACTAACGCTACGTTTACTGACGTCTCACTAGGAACCACAAAGTTCACCACTGTAACCCACCCGTTCCCCGGTGCCTGACACACAGCGGCGGGCGCTCGGGGGATGTCGCAGAGGCAGGGAATGAATGTGCGCACGCCGCGCATTGTGCTTAAGCCCTTTACAACATTCGGTCAACCAGGATTGACCTTCTGCTAAAGCCCAGGTCCCGATCTCCTGTGCAGCGCCGGGAGGCAGGGCTGTTATGGTCGCTTTTTCACAGAGGCGAAAACTGAGACTCAGGGGTTACCAGACTTGCCCAAGGTCACCGCCTCTGGGAAGTAGTCACGTAGGGATCTGAACCCAGGTCTCGCCCCGGGGGTGCACTTTAACGGCTCCACAGCACCCCGCCTTCCCGCTCCCGCCACCGTAGGATACCTGGGGTTTTTCCCAGGTTGCGCAGTCCAGGAGTGCCCACCGAGCGCCCTGGAAGGGCGCTGCGGGGCTGGGCGAGCGCGGGGGCGGGGCCTAGTGCCTGACAGGCGCGAGGCGGGCTCCGCGAGTCCCGGGCAGTGGGCGGGCTTGCGTCTTGACAGGCAGCGGGAGGGACCCGGCTCCAGCCTAGGAGGGGGACCCAGCCTGAGTGGGCCCGGGTTTCCCGGGTGGAAGGCGGGGCTTGACAGACAGTGGGAGGAGCCCGATTTGACGCCAGCAGGGGCGAGACTTGTGCTTGACAGGCAGGGCAGGCCGGCGTTTGATAGGCAGGGGACGGGCCCTGGAGACTGACGGGCCAATCGGCGTTCAGGGGCGGGGCTTACGTCGGCGCCGTCCGGCCGGGGCCCCCGCGGCGCTCCCCAGTTTGGCTCCGGCACCGCCCGTCGCGGACGCGTACTTGTCGCTGCCGCCGCCGCCGCCGCCGCCGCCGCCACCGCCGCTGCCGCCGCCGCCGCCGACGCCTCAGCCGCTTCAGCTCCGCCGCCGCGCCCGGGCCCACTGCCCGCAGCCATGAGCGCTCTCCGCCCGGGTAGAGCCCGCCGCCCTCTAGATTAGTTCCTGCCGCCGCCCCTGGACCCGCCTGCACCATGGAGTCGCCCGCCTCCAGTCAGCCCGCCAGCATGCCCCAGACCAAAGGTAGGAACGCCTGGTAGGGAGCGCGGCTTGACCCCCCGCGCCCGGTCGGGCCCGGACTGCGAACCCCGACCTCTGTGTGATCGCATTCCAGCCCGTCCCGGACCCAGGCAGTACTCCGGCCCAGAATCCCTCCCCGTTCGGGTCTCGGTCTCAGCCTAGACCTCACCTGGACCCCCAGTTTAGGCCTTGCGGCTGCTCTCAAACCCAAACTCAGGCTAGGATCTCGTTCTCATGACCCCGCTCCAGGTCAGAAAACCTCACTCTGACCTCCTCATTTAGGCCTTAACTGCACCCAGAACAGGAATTCTCCCAATCTGGGTCCCTCAGCTGGATCCAGGTGGTATTCACTCTGATCCTTCACCCAGCCCCCACTTGCACTCCCAGGGCTATAGCCACGCTGGGATTTAAATGAGTCCCCAGCTGAACCCCAGCAGTGCTGCCCTGCTGGGGAATCTCACTGTAAACTACTCCCCGCGCCCCCCAGCAGTGTGGGTGCCCTGGCTACCCTCCAGCTAAAAACTCCCTCCTGTCCCCCAACTCTCTCCATCCTTGTAGGCCGCTCATTGCCCCATCCCTGGCGGCTTGCAGCGGTGCAGCCCTGTGCCCCAGGAACCTCTCTTGGCCTCCCACCCCACCCTAACACACGGCCCCCTCTCCGTCAGCTCCTCCTTGTCTTGACTTGCAAGCTTCTCTCTGCCCTTGGGGAGCTCACCCTTTTTCGTTCCCCTGTATTTCCAGGGTTGATCCCTACCAGGCTTGTCCCTGCTGCCTCTGGGTTCTGGGCCAGCCGCTAGGCCAGGGTGCTGGCTGTGCAATGGGCTCGCTCTTGTCTTCTCCAAGTAGCTGGCCTTCCTGGAAATTTTTGTGAGGTGGCGGCTGCGGCGGCAAAGCAGCAGGATTTGTCATGCGGGGCGGGGGGGGGGGGGAAACTTGGAGGGTGAAAGGGGGATTTTTTTTTTTTTTTTTTTTTTTTTTTGTGCAGGGAAGAGGCAAGGATGTTTCTGGCATGTCAGAGCCTCAGCAGGCTAGGCTGTGTGAGATTTCCAAACCGGACATAGCTGTAATGAATGGGCTGCCTCCCGGCTCTCTAAACCTGCTGCTGCCTCACCCCGGCAGCAGGAGTATCTCTGGGCCTCAGTTTCCTTATCTGTAAAATGGGAGTAATCACACGTACCTTGTGTGGATTTCTGGGTGTGATATGAGGTAGCAGATAACTAGAGTTTCAAGCAAGCATGGGTGAGTTGGTGAAGAGCGCAGCAGGGCGCCTGGCACACAGTAGGTGCTCAGGCAGGCACAGTTGCCCACACCTTGTTGCCGTTTTCCTTGTTGGGAAGGCCTCAGCCATGTGGGCTCAAGGCCTTGCCTCTGTCTGGGTTGCAGCTGCAGAGTGAGGTGGAGAAAGGTAACAGATGTCACCCAGTGCACCTCTCCTCGGAGGCTGATCCTCCCTCTCTTTACCTGGAGGGGCCCAGGCAGCAGGAGGGCCTGTGGGGTCCTGGGGAGGGTGTGGGTCCATCTCTGCCCCTGCTGCCAGGGGCTGCAGTGGCTGTGGGCCAGAGCCCGGCTGGCCCGGTGGGCAGGGTAATTACGTCTTACGTAAGTGGGAGGCCGGATCCCTGACCATTGCCCAACCACTGTGAGTAACTCAGGAGGCACTCGAGGGGGGAGGCGGCTGGGGAGGGACTTGGACTGCACAGACCTCGTGGAGCTTGGGAACCGGGAAATCATACGCTTCTCCAGTCTGGAGCACCAGGAAATCAGACACTTCTTTTCTCTAGCTTGGGGTCTGTGCCTGGCTTGGTCAGTGCTGTGGGACTTAGGGCAGGTCCCTCAGCTTCTCTGGGCCACAGTGTTTTCACAGGCAGAAGGAAGAGGTTGGAAGCCGTGTTTGTCTTTGAATGCTCTTTCAGCTTTTCCAGGCAGGCAGTGCCTCATCACAATAAAAGTTGTAGAGTTTTGAAGGGAGAGGGGTCACAGGTGTGAAGGGAAAAGGGAATTTGGGGAGGCACCATTTGATTCCCATGTGCTATGTGACTTGAGTCCTGGTGTTGCCCTCTCTGAGCCTCTCTGCAGAGAGAGAACGAAGAGGAATTTCCAGTTTGAGGGTCCAGGTAATAGATGATGCTGGGTGGGTTAGATGGAGGGTCAGCAGCCTCTGCAAGGCTCAGGGACCTTGTCAGCCTCTTCAGGGTCTGTGGAAGGATATGGTGGGGAGCCAAAATACCCCCCCACCAAAAATCCTGAGAGTTGCCACTTATCAAGCTTTTTTTCACGTTCCATGCACTCTCCCGTTTATTCCTCACAGCCCCATTTATAGATGAGGAAATTGAGAGTCGGAGGTGGTTAGTGCCTTGCCTGAGGTCATACAGTTGTGACAGGTGCAGCTAGGGCTCTGTCCATGACTGTGTATCTGCAGAGGTCTCCCCATTGCTCCTTTATGTCCCATTCCTGTGCTGGATGCTTGAGCTGAGCTGGTGGGGATCCCCCACCCCCTTGCCCGCACCCTGCCATCCCAGCTGGCGGGACGCTCCATTATGCCTTTGTCTAGTCTGTGTGTCTCCTCCAGGTGCAGCCTGGCCTGGAGCAAGGACTGAACCAGAGGTGATGCCTCTTGTGTACACAGCCCTTTACAGTTGGCACATTTTATATTCACTGCAGTCTGACCCATTTGACAGATGACAAAACTGGGGCCACACAGGGGGAGGGGCTGGACGGAGTCCACAGAGCTGGGACTCTCACCTGCGCCCTCCCCATCCTGGGCACAGGGCCCTCCAGCATTGTGCTCTTCTCCACCTTCTCAGAGGAATTTGAACAAAACAGGGTGTGGTTGGCACTTGACCTTAAGGGAGCTTTACCTTTGAGCTTCCTGCCTCGCAGCTGGTGCCCTGTTCCATCCTCTGTGCCACAGGCCTGGGGAGTTTTCCATGAGTGCATGAGGCCCCAGGTCCCACAGGCCTGCTGGGTTTCCCCAGCCTCCTTGCCCACATGCCATCTTTGGCTGGAGTCAGAGGCCAAGGGCAGCTGGCGCTGGGGCCAGTGGTCAGGGGCACATTTGCTTGGCATGGTTTGGGTCTGCTGCTTCAGGCCGCATTTGTCCTTGGGGGTACCATATGCATCCTGTCACGCCCCCGCTGCACTGTGAATGCCGCCCATGCAGGCACGTCATGGTTGATCTTCACATGGCTCCCAGCTGCCCGGTGGGGACACTGAGGCTTCAGGAGCACCATCAGTGTCCTGGCCCTGCCTGTCATGGCCACTGTGCCTCCCCCCCCCAGCCCCCCTGTCCTGTCCCGTTCCTGCTGTCGGAAAGACTGGAGGGTGACACCTTGGGGACTTCCCCCACCCCTGGCGTGACGCACAGGAAACTCTCTATCAGCCAGCCCATGGCTCCAGGCCTGAAAGGAGCAAAGTTCTCAGTTGCCTGTGTGGGGAGAAGGCTGGGGCAGCGGGAGGCTTCCGGTGGGTGAGTCAGCGGGCACTGGGTGCTGACTCACCCGCCGGGCATGCCACCCCAAATGGCTGTTGCTTAAAGGGGCGGTGCCTGCTGGCTGGTGGGTTGGGAGGGGGGCTGTGAGCCCCAGTCTTGCAGGTCAGCACCTAGGCCTCAGATGGGCATCAGAGGTGGCCCCCTTCCTGGACCTCAGGCTAGGCTGGGACCTTTGGGCAGGCCCTCCTGGCTCTGCTCCCGCCCCGCCCAGGAACTTCCTCTGTTAGGCAAGGGCCCTGCTTCCTCTTGCTCACGGAACAGAAGCAGGTGGTGTTGGCTGTTCGCTGCCCTTGGCCCAGGGAATCCTCGGGTCTGCTGGGGGCTCTGGGAGGCTGGGGAGGAGAAGTGGTATGGGGTGGCCCTGAGGTCCTGGTGTGGAGAGGTGACCATGGTCAGATTTCAGGGCATGCTCTTTTGCTGTGTGATGTTGGCATAGTTACATTCACTGCACTCTCTAAATGATTTCAGTGCCCTGGGCATGACCCAGCTTTCCCATGAGAGGTCTCAGTTTCCTCACCTGCGGACTGGGAACAGGGACCTTACCTGCCTGTCTTGCTGGCATCCACAAGGATGGATGCAGATAGCCTCATTCCAGTCTTGCTAAGTGTTAGGTAGTGGGCCAGCAAGACTGTCCTCAGTCCCCAAAGAACCTCAGCAAGACAGGATGGAGGTGCAGAGCCTGGGCTCAGGGGGTAGACAGGCCTGTGTTCAAATTTTGACTCACTTCACCGCTTCCTGACTTCCTGTTGTGCCCTCTCTGACCCTCAGTCTCCTTTTCTGTAACGTGGGAGTAAACACTCCTCCCTTGCAGGGTGGTGGTAAAGACTGGAGACAGTGTCTGTCTAATGAGCAGCATCTGTTATTATGTTCTTATTGTTATGGTCATGGCTGGTATTCGTTGATGTGTGAGTAAATAGAACCGTGACCTCTGGAGATGGGCTCATAAGCCCTATGACATGAGGACTCTGGCTGCAGGGTCCTGTAATGCCAGCGAGAATGTACCAGGCTCTTTCCCCACTGGTCTCCAGGCTGGAGCTGGGGCCTCCCATTGCCTCTTGGGCCTTCCTGGGGAGGGCCCGTTGGGAACAGAGAGGACTGGGGGCTGGCCTGTTTTTGCAGGTCTGCCTCCACTGAGCACAGGGAAGATTGCGGCGGGGAATCAGGAAGATGGGCCAGCCCCTCAGTTGGTAGAACTTCATCAGTGCCAGACACGGCGCTGGCTGTGGGGATACAGGGGTGAGCAAGGGGCACCCTGACTCTCAAAGAGCTCTACCTGAGGAGCAGGAGGAGGCCTTGGGAGTCGTGGTTCTGAGAGTCCAGATCCAGGGTCAGCTGTGTCGGTGGATAGGGGGCCAAGGTGAGGGGGAGCAGTTGGGATGCAGGGCCTGGCTGGGTGCAGGGCCTTGGCGGCCATGCGGAGTATTGTCAGGGTCTCAGGAGGGGTGCTGTGTGTCACTGTTCGTCCCAGAGGAAGAACACTGCGGGGCAGCACAGGAGATGCCACACAGAGAGC